AGATAGATAGATAGATAGATAGATAGATAGATAGATAGATAGATAGACAGACAGACAGATACATACATACATACATACATACATACATACATACATACATACATACATATGTGCCAAAGTGCCATCTGGCCTGGATTTGTCTTTGACAGGTTTTGTTGAAGCTGGGATAAACGTTGGCATAGCTACTTCTTTCTTTGAAAAGTCAGGACAGGGTGAACAGCAAGCAGTCCTCGACTTACTTTGGAGCCCCCAAATTTGTGTTGCTAAGCAATACAATTGTTGAGTGAGCTTAAGTGGGGCTTGCAGGGAGGAGGGGGAAGACTCTGAGGTCCTTGGTATTCTCTGAGCTGGGTTGTTTTCTTACAGACATTTCATTACCAGACCAGGTACCATCATCCGTGCTAGAAGGCAGTGGGGGTTTTGCTCTCTTTATATACACAGCCAGGACTAACACAGGTAGTCCTCAACTTACGACCACAATGGAGCCCAACATTTATGTTGCTAAATGAGAAAGTTGCTTAGTGAGTTTTGCCCCATTCTATGACCTTTCTTGCCATAGTTGTTAAGTGAATCCCTGCAGTTGTTAAGTTAGTATCGCAGTTGTTAAGTGAATCCGGTCTCCCCATAGAACTCTGCTTATCAGAAAGTTGCCAAAGATGATCGTATGATCCTGGGATACTCCCAATTGACATAAATACAACAGCCAAGCATCTGAATTTTGATCATGTGGCAATGCTGCAACGGTCATAAGTGTGAAAAACGGTAGTAAGTCACTTTTTTCAATGCTGTTAACAACATTGGTCACTAAATGAATTGTAAGTCGAGGACTACTGGTGGTCTTTGGAAGAGACAGTTCCTTGTGGGAATTTTTTTCTGAGTACGGGTACTCCTTGACTTGCAACAGTTCATTTAGCGACCGTTCAAAGTTTGTAACAGGACTGAAAAAGTGATTTACGACCGTTTTCCACACTTATGACCGTTGCGGCATCCCCGTGGTCACGAGATCAAAATTCGGATGCTGGGCAACTGACTCGTATTTATGACGGTAGGCAATGTCCCGGTTTCACACGATCCCCTTTTGCGAGCTTCTGACAAAGCAAAGTCAACGGGGGAAGCCAGATTCACATAACAACCATGTGACTCACTTAATGGCAGTGATTCCCTTAACAACTGTGGCCAGAAAGAGCATAAAACAGGTCAAACCTCACAAACGTGTCACCCAGCAACATAAATTTTGGGCTCACTTGGGTATATAACTCAAGGCAAGACTTGGCTGACTCTGTAAAACCTCTTGGAGTCGATTTAGTGAATTAACGTCGCTTGCAACTCCTGGCTGTGTTTTGAACGCAGCCCCGGTAGATCTTCGGCCCTGCCTTCCCTCCTCCCCATGTTTGTTTACTAGCCAAGATTATAGGAAAGGAAATAGGATGAGAAGAAGGAGCTGCCGCTTGATGTGAGATTAAGCCCTTTGATCCTTCAGGGTTGTAGTTCACACCCATTGTGATTATATGTTTCTTTTCCAGCCTGTTTTCTTTCTACAGGAGGAAGCCCAGCCAAATGTTGATAGGACCTTCAATTCCCATAGCAATAGTCATGGTGACAGACATGTTGGTGCAAAGAACCAGCATTTCTCACAACCCTTTATGGCAAAAACAAGTAAAAGCAAAACCCTGGGTACGGGTACTCCTCGGCTTACGACCACAATGGAGCCCACAATTGGAACTCACTTTTTTTCTGGGCCGTTGTAACTTTGAATGGTCACGAAATGAACTGTTGTAAGTCAAAGACCACCTGTAGTTCTTTGGGTCAGCAGCATTTAGTTACCTGTGGCTCATTCTGCTTGAAAAATTACTGATATTATCTTGTAAGTCGACCAAGCTCATAATAAGGGCAAAGTTGCATCAAAGTTTGAGGAAGGGGAAAAAAGTCAGTTCTGCCCTTAAACCTGTGTAATGATTTCTCAATGCTAGTAAAAGGGAGGCGCAAACAGGTTTTCTAAAACCTCGTGTACACTCAGCAGCATGTTGTAGCTGCAAAAAACCAGAAATGGGGTTTATTTTAGAAGGTTCCCAGGAAGTAATTGCTTTATTTTATTCTTCTCCTTTGATCCAGGGCTCTCTGGAATCCTGTATCCAGTTCTAAGCATCACATATGAGTTGCTAAGATTCGAAGGCAGTCTCAGTCTTGAAGACGTGTGGACTTCAACTCCCAGAATTCAATTCGACGGACAGAATTGAATTCTGGGAGTTGAAGTCCGCACATCTTCAAGTTGCCATGGTTGAAAACCATGAGACAGTAGTCCTCAACTTACAACACTTCATTCAGCCACCGTTCAAAGTTACAATGGCACTGGAAAAATAGATTCGTGACAGTTTTCCCAGAGTTATGACCGTTACAGCCTTCCCAGAGTCACATGATCAAAATTCAGACACTTTAGCAACTGGTATGTATTTATGATCGCAGTGTCCTGGGGTCACGTGATCACCATTTGCAAACTTCTGACAAGCCAAGTCAATGGGGAAGTCCGATTCGCTTAACAACCATATTACTAACTTAACAACTGTATTGATTCCCTGCAGTTGTTAAGTTAGTAATCTAGTTGTTCGGTGCAGGAGCCAATAACTGGCAAGAAGCGTCGTAAAATGGAGCAAAATTCACTCAGCAACGTAAATCCTGGGCTCAATTGTGGTCATAAGTTGAAGACTACCAATGTTCCGGCGTCTTGACCTGTGTGAATGCTAAATGAATTGTTTCAGTCCGTTCCAATTAACTCTTTAAGTCCAATGCAATCATTATTCCTCCTGCTCTTCTCTCCCTCAACCAGGTGAGAGGATCCTGGGTTACGCCAAAGAGCCTTGTTACCTGTGGTTCGTCATGGAGTACTGCGAAGGGGGAGACCTGAACCAGTACATTCTTTCCCGCAGGCCCAACCCGGCCACCAACAAGAGCTTCATGCTCCAGCTGACCAGCGCCATTGCATTCCTGCACAAAAACCACATCGTGCACAGAGACCTGAAGCCGGACAATATCCTCATCAGCGAGCAGTCGGGAGCTCCGGTTCTCAAAGTCGCAGACTTTGGGCTGAGCAAAGTGTGCGCGGGATTGACCGCCCGAGGCAACGGCGGCGGCAACGACGACGACAAAAATGTGAATGTGAACAAGTACTGGTTGTCCTCGGCTTGCGGCTCAGATTTCTACATGGCTCCCGAAGTGTGGGAAGGACACTATACGGCCAAAGCGGACATCTTTGCGCTGGGCATCATCATCTGGGCCATGATCGAGCGGATCACCTTCATCGATGCCGAAACCAAGAAGGAACTCTTGGGGACGTACGTCAAGCAGGGGAGCGAGATCGTCCCTGTCGGGGAGGCGCTGCTAGAAAACCCAAAGATGGAGTTGCACATTCCTCAAAAACGCAGGACTTCCATGTCTGAAGGGATCAAACAGCTCCTGAAAGACATGCTGGCTGCTAACCCGCAAGATCGACCCGACGCCTTTGAGCTTGAATCCAGGATGGACCAGGTTACTTGTGCTGCTTAAAACTCAGGTCAAAGTGTTGGTGGGCTCTGAAAACAGGGTAAGGGGTGTGTGTGTGTCTGTCTGTCTTCTGATTCTCTGCCTGTCCAAATGATCCTGCCATGAATGCAACGGCTCGGGGGGGCTATTTATACTCTTGCCGGTAGCAACAGTTCAGGGGTTGCAGGAAAGGAGATAGCAATAGCGTTTAGGGTTATATATTCCTCCCCCCGTAGCACTTTTAACACCCCCCACCAAACTTCTGGGCTGCGGACGGGCATGCCAGAAACCAGGTCGTGCAAACAAGCAAAAAAAAAAAGGCCCATCTGTGCCCATGCCTGAAGCCGGCCCCGCCCCCATTGGTCCACGGAAAATCCCCTTTCCGTGGAACCGGTCCCTGGCGCCCCAAAGGTTGAGGGACGCTGCTTTAGAGCACCGTGGGCTGTTTACAACGTAGAGCACTATTTGTATCTTGCCGCTAACAATTTGGATCCTTATTTTATCAACCTCAGAAGGATGGAAGGCTAAGTCAACCTTGAGCCGGTCAGGATCGAACTGTTGGCATTGGGCAGTCAGTCTGTAAATACGGCACTTGAACCACTGCGCCACCGGGGGTATTTTTATATGGGGATACAGGCAGCCCTCAACTAACTGGGGGGGTTCAAGGTTGGAACCCCCCCCTGCCGTAAAAGAAGATATGACCGCAAAAAAAGTCTGACCTATTTATTGTTTGGAAGGCAAGTTAGGCCTTTCCTGCTACCGCTATGACTTTGCAGTCTCAGTCCAGGTAAAGAACTTTCTGGAACTCCTCCTCCCTTTTTAAATGCAGAGTGGCTTTGCTCTTAAGCTGCCTGTGGAGAGGAGACTCTCCTTGACGTAGACCAGAACATTCGTCGTTAAGCAAGGCGGTTGTTCAATCGGTCAGGGCAAAGTTTACCTTTTTGGCCATGGTTATTAAGCGAATGACGCTTTTTGCAGCGCCGTTGCAATTTCGGCCACTAAACGAATGGTTACAGAACGAGGATTGGGTGTAGTTTCTTCAGACCGGGGTTGCGTAACCTGAGCAAATTTAGGACGCTGGCCAGGGAGGGTTCTGGGAGTTGTAGTCCAGGTGGAGAGAGCGTGACGGCCAGCTGTGATTGACCTCACGAGTCAAATTCGGTTTGTTTTTTCCTTTGGCTCCAAGCAAGGCCAGCAAACAGCAGGCAGACACGCAGAGGCCCGTCTCTCGAGAGACATTCCAGACATAGCAAGATGCTTCCTAAACA